TTTCACTTCTGCAACCCGATCCTGCATTCTTCCTGCAGACCGAGGAAACATCAAAGGCCTCACGCCCATTCCTGACTCCAAGTCTGATTCCAAACTGTCTCCTGGTCAACTCCAGAAACTTAAGACGCTATCTCCTAACCCAACCAAGCCCCCAGTCCTCTGTTGAAATCTGGCTCCACATCCCAGCAAGTTTCTCCTTTAACACTGCTCACACTAGTCCCATCATCTCAGTACCACTGCTGTTCCCTCAGTTCAGGCCTTCATCACCCCAGCCTGGATCCCTGGTCTCACACTCTTCAACTCACTCCTTAGAATGGAGAGACTGAGCTTCTAAAACTGCACATCACATCTCTCAACTCTCCTGTTTAGGGCTCTTCATCCAAATTCCTTCTCATGTTGCCAACAGCCATCCTTGCCAGTAGTCTCTCTAAGTCCTAATGAATGACTTACAATTTCCTCACCCCACCTAGAAACACAATTCCAAGCCCCAGCACATGCTATTCTCTTTGCATGGAATGCTCTTTATTCAATCTACCTACCTGGAGAACGGAGCTTGATCTCAAGACCCACCTCAAGTGCCTGTACCCCTTGAAAGCATTCCTGGGCCCTGTGACATTTATAACTGAGCTCACGAGCTGAGGTCAGGACTGTCACGCACCCTTCTTTACATCCTCATTGAAGATGCACAGCAGAGGCACAAATGTTCTAGTGACTGAGTGAATGGACAGAAGTAATGAAATTCCACTCTTCACAAAACCTCTTCAGGTAAATTACACAGGAATAGCTTCCTCTCAGGAGCCCTCATGCACAATGGGTAAATGCCTGGCTGCTAACAAAAGGGTGGTGGTTCGAGCCTACTAGCCACTCCATGGGAGAAAGATTTAGCAATTTAGTTCCATAAAGATTACAGCCTAGCAAGGAGCCATGAAGACACGACACTTAGTCTCTATTCACCTGAATCAACAGAGGAAGAAGGAGAGTCAGGAACAGGAAGAGGACATGGGATGTGTGGCTAATTGCCTATATAAACAAGTGCCTCCTTTGCCATGAGAGCAGAAGAGATGGAGGGTGTCCAGCTACCATCACTGAAGATTTTGATCAAAGATTCCATAGTAGAATCTTGATCAAAAGGAGAAAAATACAGAATTTCAAATTCTCATGGACTCTAGATTTTCTGGAGCCATGGAGGCTGGACAAACCCCTGAAATCGCTGCCCTGAGATGATTTTTAAACCTTAAACCACAAATATTCCTTAAATTACCTTAAACTGTTCAGCTTAACTAGATCTGTGTTCTGCATTATGCTCTTAAGATCTAGCCATGTAAAATCAAATTGACAACAGCAACTCGAAAGATTAGATAGGAAACTTAGGGGGCAGTGAGGTAATGTTAATAGTGTAGGACTTAAAAAGCCAAAAATCCAAACTCACTGCCATTGAGTCAATCCTGACTCATAGCAACCCACATTGGGTTTCCAAGGCTTTAAATCTTCCTTTCATGGAGCGACTGATAGGTTCAAACCAACCTTTTGGTTAGCAGCCAAATGCTTTAACCACTACACCCACCAGAGCACCTTACATTCAGAAAAAGAGGGTGAAAATGGTTGCACAACTTGAACAATGTAATCAATGTCACTGAATTGTACATGTAGAAACTGTTAAATTGGTGTATATTTTGCTGTGTATATTTTTAACAACAACAAAATAAAATTTAAAGGAAAAAAAAAAAATGACAGCCTAGGAAATGCTATGAGACAGTGCTACCATATGGGGTTGCTCCGAGTCAGAATCAACTTGACAGCATCCAACCACAACAGCTTCCTCTTACCCTGCTGGGCTGGTTCCAGCATCCTCTGTTTACTCTACTGACGTTGACTTCCACAGAGTTCTCTACTGGGTACCTTTTAACCCCACTATCAGCAAAGGTGATAGGAGGTAAAAGCTAATACCTAACATTGTAGATAGAAAGACTATCAGGCACCAGCTCAAAGATAAACTCAAAAACCAAACTCACTGCCATTGAGTCAACTCCAACTCACAGCAAGCCCCACTATGAAAATCTTTACAGAAGCAGACTACCCCATCTTTCTTCCACAGAGTGGCCAGCAGGTTCAAACCACTGATCTTCTGATTAGCAGCCAAATGACTTAACCACTACACCACCACCAGAACTCCTTAGCCCAAAAATAGAAGACTAAAATAAATCTTACAAATGTTAAGTTTAGGGGGAGCTCTGGTGGCGTAGTGCCTAAGGCACTTGACTGTTAACCAGAAGGCTGGCAGTTCAAACCCACCAGCCACTCCTCAGAAGGAAGACTGGGCAATCTACTTCCATAGTGATACCACCTCAGAAACCCCAGGAGGGCTCGCTATGAGTCAGATCTGACTCGATGGCAGTGAGTTTGGGTTTGGTTTTTATGTTAAGTTTTGCCACAGGAATAAAAAAGGTCTTCTCAGCCTATCAGCTTTGTACAACTTCAGGAGAGTAGGACTATGTGCTTTTGAAAGGGTTGGGAAGTTTGGTAGATGTGCTCTATTACTGAGCCTGGTCCACACAGGTTTTCAACATGAGCAAAACAAAACAAAAATCATGGTCTTGGGGAAAGAGTTAAAGAAAGCTACAGCATAAGATAAATGAATAAATAATTACTGGTGACCTAAGTTTTCTATCTTTCCCTACCCCCAATCCAGGATTAAAACTTTTCATTTATAAATATAAAATGTAAGCAAATAAAAAAATATTTAATTTACCAAATTTATATTATCTGAGGTAAAAATAAATAAATAAAAGACCCCAACACATCCACTCTAGCAATTTGTTGAATAGTGAGATTTGATCTACAAACTGAAAATAAAATTATACCTCAATTCACAAAAACGGGCATTTCCAGAGATTCAATGACTTGGCAATTTCCAAACTCACTTCATGATCACCCTGGCTATTTATTCTCAAAATGCAAGTACACTGCACAAAGTCTAATTTACAAAACTGCCACCATCCTCTGACCTGACATACTTCCTTCAATGTTGTGCAAATTCCACACTCTGGGATCTGGCCAACACCACCTGAGGCTAGAGCCCACCCACTCAGGTCACAAAGATGCCACAATGTCACCAGGGGCTTCAGCTGCCTTCTCATTCCACTGCTATCTGCCAACTCAAGAGCAGCCACCACCTCCCCGCACAGTGAGAAAGCAGACAGCAGAAACAGTCAAGCAAACTGCAGAACGTACTTTCGGACCTGGACAACTTAGCTTTTGAAACTTCCTGGGTTAAGGCAATGACCAGTGCAAAGCATTTTTCCACGACATTCACAAATTCTTCCTGAACTTAAAAGAATTAATATAGGACGGAAAATTCAAGGGAAGGATAAAGCACTCTTGCCAGAACAAATAAATAGCTAGCCTCGGAAACACCCAATGACCGAGAGAGAGAATAAAGGCCAATTCAGCACGCAGGATTAAATCAAGGGCCAACATCCGTGTGCCCCAGCTCCACACTCGTGCCTCGGACTTAAACTGTTTATTCCCAAGGGTTCCCTTTCTTAGGGCTTTCAACCGTGTCGTTATGTAACGTGTGGGCACCACAAAACACGACCCAGCTGAGCAGATTCAGGCTTGTGAAAATCAATGTTACTTCCTCTACATCCAAAACAGATGGTCCCCTCGATCACGAAGATGTGACTCAAACATGAGGACTGTTTAGGAGAAAAAAGCAAAAAAGAAGGTGTCCGAATTACAGCCGACTGTTCAGATTGCTTACTCTTGGTCCCACTTACTTAAACATCACTTCCCAGACCTCAGCGCTCCTTGTCCTATGTGAAAATAAGGAAAGTCAAGGAAAATAAGCAGCAGTCTAGTAAGAACATCAAGAATGAGCAGCAAGGGGCTTATGACCAGGGACAAGGGCCCAGATCCGAGCCTGAGGGACACGGGGGGGGGGGGGGCAAGCATCTGGTGGCCTGAGAAGTTCAAGTGTTAAAATACTGAGATCTAAGTGGTAAGATGAACGCCAAGAATAAATAGCATACTGCTAAATACATGACAGTTGAACCACAAGCATTTTAGCACCCGGAGACCTAGGCAAAAGGCAGTGTGCACCCAGCAGTACATAAGTCCATCTATTTCTCCAAGTCCTGCAGGGCAGAGCCCATTTCCTTACTCCTAGTTTGACAACTGAGGCCTTCCCATGGTGTTGGGGAAGAATACTGAATGTACCACAGACTGTCAGAAAAACAAATAAATCTGTCTCGGAAGAAGTACAGCGAGAGTGTTTCTTAGAAGGAAAGACAACGACACTTCGTCTCATGTACTTTGGACACGTCAGGAGGGATAAGTCCCTGGAGAAAGACATCATGCTTGGTAAATGGAGGGTCAGTGAGAAAGAGGAAGACCCTCAACAACATGGACTGACACAATGGCTGCAACAACGGGCTCAAGCATAGCAACAACTGTGAGTATGGCACAAGACCAAGCCATGTTTTGTTCCACTGTATGGGATTGCTGTGAGTTGGAACCAACTTGACTACACCTAACAACAACAGTTTGACAATAAAGAAAGTGAAGACTAGGGAAGAAATGTTTTGTTCTTCATGTTTTTACAAAGAGGTGTAGGGAAACATTCCAGGAGGACTCCAGGGTAAGCTAAGAAACTGCAAAGGCCATTTTCCAGTGTTTAAAGTTGGCTGCCAAAGTGCTCCAGTGCCCTGACATTCATGGGACAACCAAAATTCAGAAACACACTTCAGACACACTAATAGCCTGTGCCAGTCCACTCATTTTCAAAGTGGACCCTTCTAGAAGTCTCATCGAGGTCAACCCTGCTCCAGGGTCACGCTCTGCAGCGTGAAGAGATCTGGGATATCTGACTCCCCCCTTGTCGGGTATCCCGAGGCAACCAATCTGCCTCCGATACTGACGCTGGAAAGAGACTGGAATCATTTTTATTTTGTGAACACAAACAGGATTAGGAGGGAGGTGGCAAGGCCAAGAAACACACCTACCTTTCAACTGGTCAGCCACCACACTCTGGCCCAGGCGCTCACACACCTTCCCATCTTCCATCTCGTACCGATCATCTAAGTATTTCGCAGTGGCTTCCGAAATGTGGACCTTGCCAGCTACTCCCAGCTGCTCCATGAGGTTGGCCAAGTTCACGTCATTGGACCACACGTCGAACTTAAACCTCCGCATGCCCAAGATGCCACACAAGACGGTGCCTGTGTGAACCCCGACACGCATGTTCACCATCTCTTTTTTCTCCTGGCAGAACTGCTCGATGGCTTTGATCATGCCCAAGCCCATCTCGATGCAGCAGTAGGCATGGTCCGCACGGGGCTCAGGACAGCCAGCCACACAGTAGTAACAGTCCCCCAGGGTGCTGATCTTCTCACACTTGGTCTCCTCACACAGGCGGTCGAAGCGACCAAACAGATCGTTCAGGAGCCCCACCAGGGCATGGGCCGACTTGTTGGCACTCATCTTGGTGAAGCCCACAATGTCTGCAAACAAAATACTAACCTCCTCAATCTGCTGCATTTTAAAGGGGCGGAAGGCTATAGGTGCTTTCTGTATGGAAGACTTTTTCTTCCTGTTCTTGGGGCTCGAGGTGGCGTGCCTCTTGACGGAATTCTCACTCTCATCATCCCCCTGTTTCATTAAGTCATCCGCAATGATTCTGGGCATCACCGAGTGGATCATCCTCTCTTTGAGGGCTTTTTCCACTTCCAGATCCTTCCCGTGCATGATGGACTGCCCCACCTTGAGGAAGGTGCTCCGGGACCTCACCTGGGACATGATGAACAGGTGAACCCCAATGGCGTGGATGCAGAGGTGCAGCAGGGCCCTGCTCAGCAGCTCCCAGTGCAGGGCCGCGGTCCCTGCCACCGCCGGGGGGAAGCAGTCTGCATCTCGGAAATAGTGGCCAAAGGTCTCAAAGAGGACAGAGTAGGCCACTCCCAGGAACAGGCTCAAATACAAAGGCAAGTGCGTGACGGTGTACAGCAACAAGAGCACTTCGATGCACATGGAGAAGCTCCCCACTCGAGACAGGCAGCTGGCGGGGGGCCTGGCAGCAGGGGTGTGGTTGGAGCTGCCAGTGCGCCCTGAGAGAGGCGTCACAACCTGAACCTGCACCGCCAGCGTCAGGGCGAACACCAGGAGCGCGAGCACCAGTGCGGTGCACACGTAGTGCCGGGCATACAGCCTGGTGAAGGTCAACAGATAGAAGCCCGCGCACACCACCAGGAAGCACAGCGCGGGGGCGGCCAGGACCAGCAGCCTGGCCCGCATGTGGACCGCGAAGTAGACGCTCCAGAGCAGGCAGGCGAAGCCGACGTAGAAGAGCGCGTAGCGGAAGCGGCGCCGGGTCTGCGGGAAGCAGCGCTCCATGCACGCCTCCTCCAGGTTCACCGAGTCGAACTTGGGGTCCCACCAGCGGCCGGAGGCCCTCTCGAACAGCTGTGGCAGCTTCTTCCGCCGGCGCCCGCGGCCGACACCGCCGCCCGCCCTCCGCGGCCCGCCCCCGGAGTCCCCAGAGCTGCTGCAGCTCGACGAGATGCTGTACTTGCAGTGCTTGGCGTGGCTGCCGGACGAGAGCTGCTTGGGGTTGAGCTTGACCCGCACACTGTTGCTGTCCCCGCTGGAGTCGCAGCTCACCTCGGTGCTGTGGTGATGCAGCAGCTGCTGGGGGGGCGGGGAAGCCATGTTGCCGAGCTTTCGGCGCCTCCCGGGCCGGGTCGCTGGGACCTGTTCAAAAAAAAAAAAAAAAAAAAGGCGAGTTACACGGACGTTTCCACACAAACGCCTACACCTGAAAGCCCCGGGAGGGATGCACTTCCAGAGTGGTTACTCTCTCCACCTACTCGGCCAGGCACCAGACGCCCCCTAAAAAAACCGTCCGTAATGTCTTCCCAGCGCTTCCACGGTCCCCACGTCCAGCCCGACGATGCCCCTGAGGACAGACCTAGCACTCCAGGGCTCACAGCCGAGAGAGGCGGCTCTGCCTCCTGCGCGCCGCGCGGCCCGATGGTGGCGTCCGCCGCGCTGCGGTTCCTGCAGCCGAGCCGGCTCTGCGGGAAGTTCAGCCCTCGGGCGCCGGCCCACCAGCCTCTCCCGGTCAGAACGCGCGCCCCGGCGGCGGC